GACAAACGAGGTGGGCTAAAACTGGCTCTGATACCATGATAAAATTTGGGATGAGTATGGACAACTGGATTGGGCTATAAGACACTTGAGTTGAACAACATTAAAAGATTGAATCCAATCGATTAGTTAGTTCAACTCTAGAGCTTATATACCGATTATTTTACTCTTAGATTTTCCGATGTGGGATGTACTCTAACACTCCCCCTCAAGTGGACAACCGGGCCATTTTGAATCTAACCGGTTGACCACTTGCAAATGAACTCCCATTCCCTTGACTTTTTTTCTATGAGCGCCAACACCTAAAGGACCACGAGTCGCTGGGTATGGACTTCCAGACGAGCAATCGTGTTAAACAGGCCACAGGCCGTTGGATACAACCTCCATACGGACAACTGGGCTAAAGACTAACGGGCCGCTAGGAATGAACGTCTAGACGGACACCTTGACAAACGAGGTGGGCTAAAACTGGCTCCGATACCATGATAAAATTTGGGATGAGTATGGACAACTGGATTGGGCTATAAGACACTTGAGTTGAACTAACTAATCGATTGGATTCAATCTTTTAATGTTGTTCAACTCAAGTGTCTTATAGCCCAATCCAGTTGTCCATACTCATCCCAAATTTTATCAACTTTTACCTTTACTTTTTCATACCTTATCTATCACATCATACTTTTTCTCTAATACTCAATCCATCACATCTTACTTTCACCCATCACATCAAGGGCAAAATTGGAAGTCAACTACAATTTAACACTTCCTTATTTTTACACAAAGTCAAAATATGAACACTTTTATAGAACGGAGGGAGTAATATTTTGACAATAAATTATGAAAAAATATATATTTAGTTTTAAATTTAATTTAGTAATACGGGATCTATTTTAAAATATCACATTTTTATAACATTTAATTAATTAAAATTATATTTAATTTGTGGTAAAAAAATGTCGCAGTTTGACCAAAAAAAGTCAAACCGTTATAAACTTCTTGAGATGGAGGCAGGGGCGAACCCACATTGGATCACACGGGGTCAAGCGACCCCACGGAAATTTTAAATTTTTTTAGTATATATGTATATATATATATATACACACACACACATATATATATACATACTTTTTTTTAGTGTATACCTTATTTCGTATATATTCTACTTAACGCTCCCAATCCCAACTTACATATGCTGAAGGAGTGGAAAACTCCATGTCTTACATTTGGGTATGCGGTCTTAGGTTCGAATACAGCCATGGGATAAGTTTTTTATATTTATTGGAAGATGTATTTTTAAAGCGGTGTCGTCTTTCTTTTTTTTTCCGCTTTTGTCTTAAACCAAAAAAACTTTGAATGGGCTTGTTGATTTGTCTATGAAAATGATTTTTACGAAGAAGGCTATGACATATCAACATATTTACACGCTCATAAGGTTAGCTTTGCTTCTACCATTAGCAACTGCTAGTGTTGAGCTTGCTTAGCCATGAAGTTTGTGAAGAATGAGGTTTGAAACAAAATTTGTGACCAATGATTAACTGATTGTCTAGTGACATATATTGAAAGAGATGTCTTTGCTACTACTAGCAATGATACAATAATAAATCACTTTCAAAATATGAAAACTTGACGTTATCAATTGTAAGATGCATTTCACATTTGCAATGTAGAACTATTTTTAATTAGTATTTTCAATAATATATTATATATAAGCTTTAATGTTATGTATTATAGAATAATGTTTATTTACTATTAGAAGCGTGATGGTTGGATATAAATTTCCTAAATTGCGACCCCATGGTTCAAATGTTCTAGGTCTGCCTCGGGATGGAGGTAGTATTTTTTTTTAAAAGTAAATTCTACAAATGGTCCCTAATTATATACAGTTTTCTATATTTAATCCCTAACTATAAAATATTCCATAAACAGTCCTCAATTTTCTAAAAACTATTCCACAAATAGTTCTTTTCACCAAATATTACAAAATATTTTGAGTAAATTCTCAAAATGATATTTTGTAATAAGGTTTTTTCCAAAATAATCTTTAATAAGCGAAAACTACTAACGTGATATTTTATATACTTGAGATGTGTTTCCTAGATACTCTTTTATAATTGAGATGTGTTTTCTTAATACTCTTTTTAATTGAGATATGTTTCCCACTTAATTTAAAAAAATCATTTTGAGGACTTATTCATGGTTTAAATAATAAAGAGCATCAAAATACCCTCTATTTAATTGTCATTACTAGACATTTTTTATAAAAGACCATTAACGAAACACATCTCGGATATCAATCGGATATCATTAATCAGATACGGATAATAACCGCTTTTAACGGATGCAGATGTTTTCCATATGAACGGATACGGATGCGGACGGTAATCGAATTTTTGGTTATCCATTTACACCTCTATCGGTCACTATCTTCCAAACGATTTTGGAGTTATTCGTGCCGACACTTTTAGCATAGAATCCTACCGTAGGGTTATCTTTTATGCTTTCAAAGATCATAAATCCGCCACCTCGAAGTCGCATACTCTGACTGTGTGTTAATGAACGATACCTACTTGTCGGAAGTTAACTGGTGTCTTATTTTAGTTTTAAATCCTCCACGCTGTCATGTCTGCAACACGACCAGTTATCTTTTGCGGGCCAGTTTCGGACCGGGTTCTGGGTGGAATTGAATACACCATCAATAAACCCTCCACTTCCCGGCCGTGTAATTTTATCAAGGGTGGGAAGTAAAGTTCTAGAATCTGGTGCTTGAAAGGCTTTCCCGCCTAAATTTTTCATATTTTAAGCTCTTCCCGCTTAATTTTTTAAACATTTGAAATTCAAATTTTGAATTTATTCCACGTGGCGCGCCTCTTCGTACACCATCATTTCATTTTCAGCCGTTTCATCTTCCCAGGTGGCACGCGTTCTCCGGCTGAAGCGCCCTTTCACCTGCCTGCCACGTGTCACCTTATCCTCCTCTGTCTTGCTAATATAAAGGCTTCTCCTTTCTTCCCTTCTTCACTTTTCGCAAACTCGCTCCTGCATCTTTACCCGGCCGGGTCTGAGTGGGGCTCTCGAGGATGGGGCTCATCCTTTTTTTAACCGATAGACGTTACACCATTGGCAAGGCAAGAAATAATCAAAGGGTAATACCAATTAGATATTTAACAACTGCACTACATAATGTCTCTCCAAAAACCAAGTGTAAATTCTACTCTTTAATAGCAATCGGTGATTAAAACCGAATTTACCAGCCGATTCTAAGAGACACTTAGGAAGGGGTTCTTCTCTTTTCTCCTAAATCTTTTCACAAAAGTGAATAAAACATGTATTTTCTTGAGAATAAAACAAAGCTTGTGACTTGTGGGTTGTACAAAGTTGGAAAGAATACAAAACAAGGGGTAAATTTCACAAATGGTACCTGAACTTTAGTTGGAATTTCGAAGTAGTACCTGAACTTCAAATCCTTTCACAAAAATCTCTGAACTTACACAATCCTTTCACTAATGAGCCATTAGCCCGTTTCTAGGTTAACTTCCGGTCATTAGGGCCAAATTCAAATTTTATATATTTTAAAATTTTCAATTTGACCCCATTTCTTCTTTTCTTTTCTTCCACGCCCCGCCGCCGCCGCCCGCTGGTCAAAGTCGCCGGAAAATGAACTTTTTCCGATTCCGGCGGGACAAATGTCATTCTCTTCGTCTTGAGACGAGGATCAATAATATCCAAACCATTTTGTCTAATTTGGCCTGTAACTTCTCGAATCTGAATTTTTCTACTCGAAAAAACCCTAAAATTCGAAATTGGATCCAAAATTGGGGGTTTTGCAAATCTTCATCAAATCTTGCAATTGAGGGGTCCTTGGAGGTCGCCCGGATGC